GGGCGATGGCTCAACGACCGACTCCGAGAACATCAGGTGGACGCCGAAAAAGCTGCTTCTCGGCACCTGATCGTCATTCATTGGAGAAAATGTCCCGGCTGCGCTCCTAATTTCACCGGCACAAAAGCTATGGGAGGCCACTGCGAGCGAGTCGGGAGAGGAATAATTGAGGCCTATCGGATGGCGACAAGCCCGCAAAACATAAGCACCCCTTCCATTTCGCTCTCAAGAAAGGAGATTATCTTTCTGAGGCCCACAATGGACGCCGAACGCTGACAGACTAGTCAAGGCGACAAGGTCACCGGCAGAAGCGGCCTTTCCTTTCATTGCGTTCCACTTCATTCCAGAGAAGGGCTGGGATTCCCCCGTCCCTTATTTTCCTACTATTGAACAGAACGGGATACACTCTCTCCCCTATAGCTTTGGCTGTACAGCGGAGTATATATTTTTTTGTTTCTTTTATAAGTTTTTTTTTTTTTTTTTTTTTTTACTTTAAAGCGTTGAAAATGCAGAGGGAGCTTAGTTGCGTTGTTGATTCCCCTTCGACGTCGCCTTTTGCAAATCCTCCCCACCTGCTTTTTTGTCTTCGTGTGGCTGTCAGTGAAAGCGACACCCGCTTGAAGCAAATCAAAAGGGTGGAGCGAAACGCATGACCTCTCTACGTAGGACGCGTAGGACAAAAACGTTTGGACGAAAATTTGTCACGTGAATCTCTCTGTCACGCTGATGGGATCCCTGGGGCTGTTGTTTTCGCCGTTTGCCTAGTTATACAAATAGGCGGGCCCCGTAGGTCCGGTTTTCGAAATGCGCACTTCAATGTTCTGTTGATTTCGTACAATGCAGACGCGGCCGTGTTTTTTTTTTTTTTTTTTTTTTTGTCGTAAACGGCCGGAATACTTCCATGCCAATTTTTCGGTAACAGGCATGTTTTTCACCGTAGTTCGTGGAATTTTTGTTATGTGCTTGTTGGACATGCTTCGACAAAAACTGCTCTCCGCCGACGACGAGACGTCAGTTGAATGTGCGCAACCTTCTTCTCAAGTGTGTTTGTGGGGTGCCTGAGTTGGATTATGCATCTATCAATTGGCTACATGATATCGCTCTTTTATTAGTAAGTACACTGCAAGCATGCTTCTGACAGTAGTCCTGTTTTCCTCTCAATCTCCGCGGTTTTTTTGTGCGATGAGTTTTGCTTGGCATGAGGGCAGTGTTAATTCTGTTTTATAATTTGCTTTTCGTTTTACAGAGAAGTGTGACCTTTGTAAATATGTCGAGAATACACTGTGTGTAATCATAGTGGTTTAATAAACTTCTGGGAGCGATCGAAAACATTTTGTTCGTCCGTGTATGTGATTGGATTTGCACCAAATGATATGCAACGTACACATACTTGCACGACGTTCGGCCAATACGGAGCAGACGCATCGTAGAGTTTTCGCATAATATTGCGCGAACGCTAGGCCGGGGCGAAACGGCTGTACTGCAATACCTGCCGGATATCAAACGGAGTTGCAAAACTGGACGTTTGAGTGATAATGGAACCGAGTTTCGGCCGGTACTGTCACGATACTGCAAAGTATTGCCGTGCTGCTTGGCAACGGAGGTGATGACATCTTACCATCGTGTTTCCAACGCTTATTTAATTTAATTCTCTTCTAGGGCGCCTGAAAAAGCACTTCTGTGACACACCATAGATATTCCAAACTTGGGCAGGCCTCTTGGCTTTCTTTGCCACTTTTGGCACTTATTTGGCACTTCAGTGGGTAGCCAGACAAGAGCCACACTTCGGCATGCCCCAAATCGTCAAATTAAGATTTACTGCGGCAGTTATGGCTCAAGTATGGCACTACTTTGGCACTCCTGTGGCGGACAAGAGAAAAGCCAAACTTTTGCACGTCCCAAATACCGAAATTAAGCGTTGCTCTGGCAGTTATGGCTGAAGCATGGCACCAACTTTGGCGCTCCTCTGGCGGACCGGAGAAACGCCAAACCTTGGCATGCCCCGAATTCCCAGATCAGAATTTACTATGGCAGGTATGGCTGAAGTATGGCACCAACTTTGGCGATCCTCTCGCGGACAAGAGAAAAGCCAAACTTTGGCACGTCTCAAATACCGAAATTAGGCGTTGCTCTGGCAGTTATGGCTGACGTATGGCACCAACTTTGGCGCTTCTCTGGCGGACCAGAGAAACGCCAAACCTTAACATGCCCAGAATTCCCAGATTATGATTTACTATGGCAGTTAGGCTCAAGTATGGCACAAACTTTGGCGCTCCTCTGGCGGACCTGAGAAAAGCCAAACTTTGGCACGTCCCAAATACCGAAATTAGGCGTTGCTCTGGCAGTTATGGCTGAAGTATGGCACCAACTTTGGCGCTCCTCTGGCGGACCAGAGAAACGCCAAACCTTGGCATGCCCCAAATTCCCAGATTAGGATTTACTATGGCAGTTATGGCTCAAGTATGACATCAACTTTGGCGCTCCTCTGGCGGACCAGAGAGAAGCCAAACTTTGGCACGTCCCAACTACCGAAAGTAGGCATTGGTAGTTATGGCTGAAGTATGGCACCAACTTTGGCGCTCCTCTGGCGGACCAGACAAACGCCAAGCTTTGGCATGCCCCGAATTCCCAGATTTGGATTTACTATGGCAGTTATGCTCAAGTATGGCACCAACTTCGGCACTCCTTTGGCGTATCAGAGAAGAGCCTAACTTTGGCATGCCCTAGGAGCGCCCAACTAAGGCTATATTTAGGCACCGTACTTTGGCACTGATGAGTGCCATGGTGCAAAAACCTAACTGCGCCAAAGTTGGGCCCTTATGTTTGCCAGACCTTTGCCCAAGTTGGGCATTCCTCTGGCGTGCTACCTGCGTAGCTTCAAATGTTTCTCGAAAACGAAATGAAAACATTTATTAGTCATGCTTTCAGTTTTTTTCCCGAAAGTGTGTGAAATATTAATTACGCCTTTTATGTCGCGATTGTTTACTATAGTCGGATGCAACCTAAGAACAATCTTTTAGCTCCACCCACAAGCGCATTGCGCCCATGTGAAGTGCCTCCGCCGTCGAGAAAGTAGTTCGCTAGCAACGTTGCTTTTTCTTCCTCCAGGAAACGTGTCTTAAACTACTACAATATTTATTTAATTCATTCAGGACATTTAAATAAGTTAGAATACGTTTTTGTCAACGAAATAGCTGTTTAGTAAAGAAAGAAAGTCATGTCCAATGTACCGTCTTCCCAATTAATTTTCTGTCCAAGATACTGTCTAACATACCGTCTAACATACCTCTCAGCAGTGCTAAGCCTCGCGCCCGCTTCGAAATTTTTGTTGGCGATAGCGTCGCTGGATTCTCACGTTTTTGCGCAAAAACTGCTGCAAACGCAAGCCGATACCATTAAGATTTCGTGGCGTAACCTCGGGCACGTAAAACACGGTGCAAAAAAGCAGAATAATTGTCACGAGAAACTACTGTCGCGTTGCTAAGGCCAGCAGCCATGTTGAACTTTTTTTTTTTTTTTCAAGAGGATTGCGATTGGTTTACGGAATCGTGACGTCATGAAAACGATTGGCTGGCGTTTCTCGGCGTAGGATTACATTTTCCTCTGAGAGGCATTTCCGGTTTTTTCTTAGCTTGCAACCAACTATAATGTCGCTTGATAACTATGTTGAGTACAAGAGCTAGGGTGTAGTTGACTGGTACTTTATTGGACAAACTTTGTTCAATACAAGGCACCGATGAAAAACACTTGTGAAAATCCGCTTCACACAGGTGCGATTGTTGTTCCACCCAAAGTTAGTAACACATCATGCAATTTTGTTGATGAGAATATTTCAATGGGAAATAGCCTTTATCAGCTCGTCTTTTGGTATTAGGAAACTCATTTAACTTACAACATGATTTTCGCTCAAACTTAATTGTTCATTTCAATATTCTCCTTTAGAGAGAACTAAAACAGCTAATATTTAATATTTTTGAAGAAACAAAACGCCCCGTGTTCTAGAGCTCATATTGAAAGCATTAAGGTAGAGGTAATGTGCTTGATAACAAGTTATTTTTCATCCGCTAATAAGTGCAATATTACACTTTTTTTTACACACTTCTTACCTCTTACAACACATTTCTTATCTTCATTACTCTTCGGCGGCTGTAGTAGTAGAGCACTAAAAGTACAACACGTCGTCAGTTTTTAATTGTTGCTGGAGCTGATAAGTTTCAGGTGCCTTACACTGCATTCGAGGTGTCTGCCAGTAAATATTTCGTAAATGCTCACACTAAAATCTTTGAACTTTTAATGCAATCGTGAAACAACAACACTCTCTTTTACTTGTAGATGAACATCCAGTATTTTGCCAAAACAATACTGATAAAACACTTAAAACGCTGATATTGATGGTAGATGCGGCGGGATTATATATTAAAAAAAGAAAACAAGAAAAAAATATATATAACAGATGTCTAGAACTCTCTCTGATCAGAAATACTCAATACATACGCTTTAAAGCTATTTCATCAAAATTATATAAATGTTAAATGTTGCGAAAAATGTTCTACAATATTGGTTACTAGGAAACAGATAAAATTAAAGAAAAAGAAATTACGAAACGTTGTTCTTAAAGTCTATATTTCGTACACAAATGCCTTTTTTTATTCTTGTTTGTGACTTTTACACCCAGGTTCATTCTCTGGTGCTTTTTTGCGCTGCTCTTGAACCAAAAGCTTAGTACAGTTTCCGATTAGTATTTTGTCGCTAAGGCATGCTAACGTGTGCTTTGTCAAAATTAGTTAAAAATAACAGCTTTATTTTGCAGAACGACTGCCTGGATTTTCTTTGGAGCTTACATTCGATAGTATTGGAGCAAACACTTGGGCGTAATATTGAAATCAATCGGACGTTCTTCGGAGCACGAATTGTTTTCAGTATCGAGAAAATATGCATGATCACGAGAAAACATTCATGAGCATATTCACACAACTTCAATTTGTGAACAGACACTCGTGCTAATACCCCAGATCTAAGAACACACCATGCACAATGCAGAAAATGAAGAAGGTGAGGTACGAGAGACACCAAACCCAAATGACTCTGCATTCCCGCTTTGTGGGAGCTCTGTTGCGCAGCACATCTCTTCCCAAGGTGATGCCCGCGATGATGCCAGCGAGGTGCGGGAGAGCCACGATGTCGTGCTGACTCCTCCAGCGCAGCGCTCCATAGTAATCAATGGCCGTGAAGGTTGCGACTACCACGATGCGAGGGACGTTGTTCTTGAACTGGCCGTAGTTGAAGGCGACATCAGCAACGTGAGCCCAGAGCACTGCGTAGATGGCTCCAGACGCGCCCACCATGAACGGGCTCTTGCTCAGAAATCCCGTCAGAGCTGTCATCAGGGAGCCTAAAAAGTAGATAAAGGGTATCTTCCATGCGCTGTGAATGGCGCTAAAAGGCATACAGGCCAGGACGTGGGCAACTGTGTTGCTGATCATGGGAAAGGTGTCGATCTGAAGCAGGACGTAGGAGAAGCAACGCCAGATCTCTACCTGACGCTCTGAACTCATGATGAGTTTGTCGTCGTATCTAAAGTAGCTGGTGGCTTTGGCCGGATTTGGACAGCACCAGGTTGAGTGGTACACCAAGGTCACCAGCTGACCGATGCAGATAATGGCGTACATGGCTACCGGCAACAGGAACAAGGGGTAGTCAATCATCGCAATGCGCAAAACCCTGGCGTGCTGAAGTCTGTTGACAAAGATGCTGGCAGCCACTTGAAAGAATCGGAAGGCGCGCCTCTCTCTCGCAGTTCGCGGCTTACCGAGTGTCGCGATGGCCAGAAATTCCTCGAGCGTGAGTGCCCCTGTTGGGTTCCAGGAGCTTAATTCGAGCACTTCGTCCAGGATGCTTCGAGGGCAATCTGGCATTCTCTTCAGTTTCGACGCCAGTTTCACAAGACCAACGCTTTCTTGTTTAGTGGCCGAGTAGAACACTCGAGACCAGTAGTCGATCTTGTCAGTCCCAAAGAACTGGGCAAATTTTTGACTGGGCTCGTCCATCGAGGTATTGAACATGAATTCTGGGCTGACCGTTGGAAACACCATTGCGGCTTGCATGCGTCAGCGTGATGACTTGTCTGCGCAAGTTGGCGGGAGTATACAGTTCTTGGTCGCACTGTCGCCCAAATATCGACTCGGACAATTTAGAGAGACCGTGCGAAAAGCAGCAGGGACCACGCAGACCGTGGCACCTTATCGCGTGCTGCGAGTTGACACATGGAGATTAGGTTTCAGCGCAACGTGCATTTGCATAAGGGGCACTCATCAGAAATTGCCGAGATCGAATTCGCCCGGTTTGCAGCAAAGAACTGAAGAAAAGAGGAAAACATTCCGGGATCAATAGGGGCTGGCTACCCTGAGTACAACACTTTTTTTGTCGTTTTTGTAACACTCTTCAGCATTTATGCTCTAGACTAGATAAAAAGAAGAGATGCCACTCAGCACCTGGTAGTCCCGTGCTGGCTGCCGCTCCTTGCGTTCAATATGTCCAATTTCCTTCGCGCAAGCCACGTCAATATTTCAAGAACTATCTCGTTACCATTGATTTTAGTCATTGGGGAAGGCAATTTCTAAATACGTACTAAGCGTCGTTCATTCAAGACAAAAAACACGACAAATAGTCATCATGAAAAATGTAAAATAAAAAATTCTCATATTTGTAAAATGGTAAAATCAAAAATGTAATTGTAATAAAAATGATATTGTAATTGTAATAAAAATGCAATTGTAATGAATTGTTATAAAATATTAAATTCCGACAATTGTAATGTATGTACCTCCTTCTTCTACTTGAATAAGCATCGGGTTACACTCATCCCTTAACAACCGCCGCTGAATACATTATCCTGAAGAAAACGGGTATATCATGCGCCGTTTTTCAACACTGATTCTAGTATAAAAAGTAGCTTGTATATACAACAATGTGACATGTTATATCTACGAAACATATAGGCACATATTTTTAACTGAGCTGTCAGGGTTACATATTAATTACAAAAATATGTTTGTTGGAGCATACTTAAACGACGGGATTGATTTTGCGTTCATCTAATAAGAATATAAATAAAACAGGTTGTAATTTTCCCGGCATCACTATTTTCACCTGAACAATGCTCATACAAACGATTCTCATTCAAAACCAAAAGCGCTCCTGCTACGGCCTTCATAACCCTTCCGTTTTCATAGCAACCGAAGCCCTTTATTAGCACTGGAAATAATTAAAGCAAAAATTATTTTGTGATAAATATCACATTTAAAAGAAATAATTTGGCAGTACAATTTATTTCCGTTCCAGCACAGATGATTGCTTCTAATCTAAACATGGCTTGCATTGGCTTCATAGCAGTGACCATTTCTGGGCGCTCAGCGCGTATGCCTCCTGAAGCAGGTATTTCGAAATTAAATTTATTTTTCTCGACAAGTACAGGTGGCAATGAACACCAGCACAATACATGCAAGCCATGTATTGTTTCCTATTCGCGGCGAGAAGTTTGGCTATCGCCGCCTTTGGAATTTTTTAACAACCCAGAGCGAGGATACCTCAACTTCCTCTGCTAGTACAAGCACGTGCAGTGCCAAGCTTTTATGCACTATGAAAATTAAAACATAGCCGCAGGGGTAGCACATGCACTACCCATAGTGATGAAAACAGAAGCGCGCCTGGTAGCCCCAGACCAAGCTTCTCACCGCAAATAGGCAACTAGCGCTGCCACAAGTTTTCTTCTCATTGCCTTGAAAGACTTCCCTTCAGCTCGAAGAAAATCCGAGGTAGAAATATTTCCGTTTGTCACATTCTAGAACAAGTTCAGCCGGACGCAGTTGGTTTGGTGACCTCCGTAGTTGATGGGTGCTTAAAACCGCAATCACACTGATCATCGTACATCATAGAAAATACACAGCGTTCCTTTAATGAAAAGACGGTGAGTGTGCAGGCGAGATGGTGACAGTTAATCATGACATCTAAAACCCGCGGTATTCGAATCTGGGTCCGCTGCGTGCGAAGCGGGAATGGTTAGCGCTGAGCTTCGCCACAACGTTAAAAGTTCCGCTCTATACTTTAGGGGCTTTGTAGCTCCCAATACCCACTAAACCCGCACTCTGGGTAGTAGTAGTAGTAAACAATATTTGTTTGCCCAAGCATGTGTTAATGACTGAACGGGAAACCCCTAGGGTCGCTCCGCCAGCCACCCCTCAGACGGCGGCATGAACGCTCTGGGTTTTGGCGGCGTCTTCAGCCAGCTGGACTAGTTGGTTCTGCACCGAGGGATCGGAGCAGAGGAGTAGGGTTTCCCAGCTCTCCTGGTTGTCAATCTTCTCCAGTAGGGGGTGAGACTTACGGTCGATCTTGCTGCACTCCCACACCATGTGTCGGAGGTTGGCGTGGCCGCCGCAGAGCATGCAGTTTGGCTTGTACTTGTCGGGGTACCATTTGTTGAGTAGGGAGGGGCTCGGGAAGGAGCCCGTCTGGAGGCGGCGCCATGCCACCGACGTCCTCTTGTCCAGCGAGGGGTGCACGGGTGGATAGCGTAACCTCTCGCCAGTGTAGTGATCGAGAATGTCCCTGAATGTGACCAGCCTGTAACTCCGCGAAAAAAAAGCCAGAGAAGGGTCCAGCGGTTCCCCGGCCCGGTGAGCGAGTTCTCGGGCCGCGCCGTGTGCCTTCTCGTTGCCGGGGAGCGACGAGTGCGCCGGTGTCCAGATGAGCTGTACTTTTGTTGACGTCTTCTCGGGGTCACCCAGGATTTTGAGCGCGGCTGTAAAGATTCTTCCTTTGGCGAACTGCCGGATGGCTTGCTGCGAGTCGCTGACGACGATGCGTGCCCCCCGGACTCGGATCGCGAGGGCAATGGCCACCTCCTCCGCGACTTCCGGTTCCGACGTCTTGATACTGCAGGTCGAGATCACTTCTCCTTGTTGGTTGTCCGCTGTTGCGACCATGGCGCCCCCGCCGGCTCTAGCAGCGTCCGTATAGAGGACGCCCTCCGCGATGCTTAGCCGTTTCTGCAGCGCCTTGACTCGCGCCGCTCTGCGTTCCGCGTGATGCGTAGGGTGCATGTGCTTTGGGATGTTTGGTATGACGAGGGCTTCCCTGACCCGCCTAGGGACGTCGGCCTTCTCCCCCGTTTGCCTCTCGTAGCGGATTCCAAGGCTGGCCAAGATGTGGCGCCCCGTGGCACTCTTCGTCAGCCTCTCCAGCTGCGAAACACGCTGAGCTTCTATGATCTCCTCTACCGTGTTGTGCAGACCTAAAGCCGCGAGCTTCTCGTTCGAGGTGGTGTCCGGGATGCCGAGTGCTCTCTTGTAGGACTTTCTGGTGAGACAGTTGAGCTTGCTCGTTTCCGTGAGGCCGAGTTTTAGGAAAGGGAGGACGTACGCCAGCCTACTGACGACGAAAGCGCGTACCAGACACACGAGGTTCTTCTCCTTCATGCCAAAGTTTCTACCGGCGATTCTGGAGATGAGGCGCGTAATTTGGTACGCAGTTGCTTTTAGCGACGCTATCGTTTCGAAGTTGTTTCCGTCGGCTTGTATCCTAAGGCCTAGGACTCGTATGCTCCTGACCGTGGGGATTCTGTTACCCTGGGCGTGCAGCTCGATGTCCGACGGTAGCTGGCGGGCACGGACCGGCTTGAGGAGGAGGAGTTCGGACTTCTGCGGGGAGCAGGCAAGGCCCCTTGGCTCGACGTAACTTTCCACCGCCCGAATCGCTTCTTGCAGCGTGTCTTGTATAAAACCGTCGCTGCCACCGGTCACCCAGAGCGTGATGTTGTCAGCGTAAAGCGCACTCTGGAAAAAAAGAAAATGAACGGTAACAAATTGACTTTGTAACACTGTTTCACTCGCTCCGAAAAAAAAAAGAAGAAACCAGACCTCTGTTAATCCATAGTACTGTCGCAGCGTTTGCAGCGGCACGACATTGCAAAGTCATTGGGCATCCACGTAGCATTCACGCACCCTTTGAGCAGTTGGGTCCACTAAAGTCACTGGATCCTGGGAAAGTACCACCAAGCTGCCTATATGGTCTCCTTTTTGGTCCGTCATATGAGCAATTTCTCCTTTACTCCTCCGTTCTTGGTGAGCCGATCTAAATTCGCTGGTGTCGGGTAGCTTTATGGAGACATTTTTTGTACACGGAGATCTTTCTATCCACATACCGGCGAAACAAGCGTACATCTTCGTACCACCACCACATGCTGGGTCGGTGCTTGGAGGCACTGAACAATAATTTTACTGTTTTGAAGTACGCAAGAAGAACAATATAATTGTAAGAGCTCTGTGGACATGGGCATGATTGATAAGTATACCGAATACGCAGTACCAAAGAAGCTTATATTGGTGAGGAACGCTTCCAGTACGATGATGCTCCATGGTGATCTTGGAGCGACTGGTTTAGAACGACCCTCTGGAAGCTTCGAAGATTTTAATGGGCCGAAATGGCGATTTACATGGTAACGTAGACAAATTCTATCTGTCCTCGGTCCAACATTATTTGTGTCTACAACCCCGGACCGGTCGTCTCTGGCCGGGGTTGCTTCAGGTGCGTCATGCACCCAGCGTCCCCTTCCCAGCCAACGAAGGCTCTGACCTTCGACGTCTCCTGCCCGCCGGGAGCGTCTGTGGATTCCATCTTCGACGGGGCCACGGGCATTGTCGGCACTGCCGAACTGTTTTCTGTACAACACCTGGGAGCAAGCGACTTCCAAGTGTCCGTCACCTCGTCGTCGGCCAAGAGCCGCATCGTCAGCGCCGGCGCCCTGAGCATCGGTGGAACCCTCGTTCCAGTCGTCCCCGTCGGACCGCAAGTAACAGCCATAACGTGCCTCTTCTTGCCGGTCTACGTCAAGAGCGAAGCACTCGCCGCTGCCCTCGCACCTTACGGAAAGGTCCTGGACATGCGCTTTGGAGTGTACCAAGACCACCCTACCCCGCGGACGGGCACGCGCTACATACGCATGAAGATGAAAGAGTCGACGCTTGTCCCGAATTTCCTCCGCGTCTCCGGCCATCGGGCAACCTTTGTCTACCGCGGCCTCTGACGCGTATGG